TATAATAAATTATTGACTCCAGTGGGAGTATGATCCAGCTTGGATTATAGGGCATTGATAACGCCTTAGACCTACATGAGTTTTGACTAGCTATGACTCAATGTGAAGCCCAAAACCCATTGTCGTGGGCATCATGCAAGCACAACTGATAAGGGTTTTGATGTGGAGTTATCCCTAGATGAGGTTGGAGATGTGCGGACAGTCGACCAGGGGACATAGATTTGACCTACGTGTGTGATGGATGACCTGAGTGGACAAGGGACTAAATCATCATCATTACCATCACACGGAATGTACACTAGATAGCCGTCTAGAAGCAACCCTTTGGATAAGGGTGTGTGACGTGTACATGTACGGAAGATATGACTCCTTGCAACACTGGATTTTGTAGGAAGGATCCATGAAGCATACTGTTGAAATGGGCCTTAGATTTGTCATCAGGGAGGAACATGTAATCCATGGTCTAGAATCTTATCTTTTTCATTTATTGGTTGACTTTGATGGTCTAATCATGAATCCCTAGGATGGGTTATGGGTTATGAGATCTGTTGGATTAGTTTGAAAAGATGTAGTGAGATGCGGTCTTTAGAGATGATGGAGTCCTCAGTATATTTGTCGTAATCCCAACTCTATGGATCTATTTTTCATCAAATCTTCTTTAATAAGTGTTAATTATTTTATAGATAATTAAAATGAATTTTTAAACCTCTCTAGGTATTTTATTTTATTGAAAAATGATTTTTATATAAGAAAAATTAATTTTTTGGATTGATTTTAATCAGAAAAAAAAATATTTGGAGGTTTTGTAAAAAAAAATTAATATCTAAAAATTAATATTAGTATATTGGGGGTCTAATGGGGTTCCATACGTCGACCAATGTGTGGGGCATGGGGCCCACATGGACAACACATGGTTGATGCGCCCACCCCATGCAACTTTCCTTATTGTGTTTTGTGCCTTCTAATGCATGTGATGATTTAAAGTTTTTGGAAACTTAAGGTGTAGATATTTGAATTGAATTAAGATAGAAAAGTGTACAATATTAAATAAGTATGAATTAAATACTTTTTCTATACAAATTCTATGATAGGAATGGAGTTATGAAAACTGATGGATAAAGTTCCATATCATTCATTTAATCATGATGGCTAATATAAAGAATGAGTGGTTGATATCTCTTCACGCCATAAGTCTCCATGATCAAAGATCAATATTAAACCTCATATGATGACAAAACCTTAATCTTAGAAACTTTAGCCTCTTGTTTATATATACTATGGGGTTCTATATCTTATCTCTCTACCTCTTTCTCTCTCTAAGCAATCAAAGGGTACACGCCCCACTCAAGCTTTCTCTCTCTTCTTCTCTCATCCAAATTAGGGTTTAGGAAATAGTTAACCCTAAGGGGTGGCACACCCAAGCCATACAAGCCCTAGCCCTAGGTCATTGCCTCATGCTCATATGTTGAGCATTGGTTAAGGAAATCCCATGTGCTGCTCTCTAAGGGTTTTGCCTAGGCTTCTCTAATTGTGAGGTGTGTCATTGAATCAAGTTCCCATACGCCATCGGTGGAGGGGACCCAGTTTGGATGTACAAAGTTCTTGGGAGTAACCTGAGGCAAGGTACACATTGTTTCATAGTGCTATGGTTTTTATGTAATTTTTAATTCTACATGATGAATGTAATTTTCTTTTAATGGCATACAAGTGAGAGGTCTTGGCTATTTTATTGAGTTAAAATTGTATTTTGGATACTTGTAAGTAATCCGGGTTGTAGAAACGAAAAGCAATCCACGAAAACTAGAAAAAAGAAACAAACACAAAAGAAAGAGACAACCAACCACAACGAAATGATATACGTGGTTCGGCAACGTGCCTACGTCCACGGAAGATGAGAACTTCTTTTCTAGCAATGGAGAATAGGGTTACAAAAAGCTCTCTTCTTCACGCCTCTCTGATTACATAGCAATCTACGTTTTTTCCTTAACCCTAGATAAACCCCCAATCACAACAATATATATGTAGTTTCAGATAGATGGTGTAAATTACCAAAATATCCATGTACGGATATTTATTAAGTCTTTGATATATTAAGTCTTCGATATATTGAATCTCATGTACAAATATATCCGATTTTTTCCTCAAGGGTTGCCGCCCCCGAACCCTCGCATGGGCCGAGTCCGTCGAGTCAACCTGTCAAGACAACTCCTCAAGCCCTACGAGCCTTCAGCCCTTCGGGCTTTTAACAACCCTCCCGAGTCGTCTATTTGACTCCACTTTGGCAGATCTATTTTCTCAGAATACAAGATATCAATCTTCACCATGTATAAAACAGTAGAAAAATTTTAAACGGTATTGACTGGCCTGATCACATAGTCCACCTTTCAATTACATGAGATATGAATACTTTCTATTCCCTTTAATAACTATGGTGCTGGTAACTTCGTAACCTGCACTAGAACCACATTATGCAGCCTATTATAAATGCAATTGATCTTCCATACTGCCTTGTCTCCTTTAGCTTTAAATACCTCGTCAACCTTAACCATAGGAAGAGAGCTATTCTTTCAAATAACTCTAAATATGAAACTTTCAGGGCATTATGTTCTATATATCTTATTTTCCTTTCCCTCAATCCATCTAATATATCTCTCCACAAAGGACCTACTACTTAGAATTCCTTTTCACAAGTGTGTGTGAAGAATTCCTTTTCACAAGTGTGTGTGAAGCTTACACATATCTTCTACCCCAAGCAATCAAATTGGAGAACTGATCTAAATCATATTTCGCTACAAGCATCTCTCTCCATAGCTAACCTTATTTTGCATAGATCTCCACCACCACTTAGCAAGCACCACTTGATTCGCAATCTTCTCAAACCCAACCCACCTTTTATTTTGGGAGTGCACACCCTCTCCCAACTAACTCAATGATACTTCTTCCCATTGTTATATAGTCCAACAAAAAATCTCTCATCATCTTCTCTAGACTTCTAACCACATTAGTTGGCATTATGACCGCTGACATTTGATAGATAGGAGGATTTGCCAAAGATGATTTCCTTAAAGTAATACACCCCCTAAAGGCAAACATTTCGCCTTCCATAAATGTAGTTTTGCTTGAAATATCTTAAGTTGGGTCCCAAATCTCTCTTACTAACTTGGAATTAGAAATAGGCAATCTCAAGTACTTAATTGGAAAATTTTCCATATTACACCCCAAGTGATAAGCCGTAACCTTGACCTCATCAACATAGCAGCCTACCCCTACCATTGTGGTTTTTGAAAGTTAACTTTCAGCCCAATAGACAACTCACAACATCTCAAAAACCTCCTAATTTTCAAATTTTATTCAACATTAATATTATAAAATGTCATAGTATCATCAACATATTGTAAATGAGAGATATATAGAGCATTTGGAGATGCCTTAAACCCCTTGAAACATTGTCCCATCTCTACATTATGCAACATCAAGCTAATGCTTCAGCCACTAAGGTAAACACGAATGGTGAAAGGGGATTACCTTGCCTTAACCCCTTAGTAGTGTTAAAGAAACCTTTTGGACATCCATTAACTAAGATAGAGAAATGCATACGAGACAAATACTCAATAATCCACTTCCTCCATTTATCTCCAAACCCTATACAGCTCAAAATTTCTTATAGTATCACCCATTCCACACGATCATAAGCGTTTTCTATTTCAAGCTTAATCACTAATCTTGGTAACCCACTCTCTACCCTTGAATGAATACATTCTTAAGCAATCAAAACTCCATCTGTGATCATTCTACAATGAATAAAGGTAGGTTGGGGACTCGAAATAATTACAAGGAGCACCTTTTTAACCTCATTGCTAGTATTTTGGAAATAAATTTATAAAGACTAGTAAGTATATGGTTTGGGTGAAAATCATTGATACCTGTTATGCTCGATTTCTTAGGGATCGGAGTTTAGAACCCCCCTCTTTAAAAAAAAACTCTAATAGTATCATCAAAAGATCATCTTTAACCAAATGTCAAAATCTTTAGAAGAACACAAAAAGGAAACCATTTGGACCCGGTGACTCATCCTATAGCAAAGTAAAAACCACCTTCTTCAACTCTTCTTCGCTTACGATTTTTTTCAAATCCCTGGCAACCTCCTCAGGTAACTTCTTAAAAGGTACCCCTTCCACTTTTACTCGAAATTGAAGCTCACCCAAAATTTTTTTGAAAGTATTTGACGAATTTCATCTCCCATTTTCCCTTATTACCCTAATCAATACCGTAAAAAACAATACGTGAAATGTCATTTTGTTTTCTTCTCACATTGGCTAGAGAATGAAAGAACTTAACATTGATATTCCTTTTATTAAGCTATTTAATTCTTGATCTCTTCTTTTAGTAGATCTCCTACAACACAAAAAAATCATGCAATGAATTAATCATACGCTCTCTCTCTCCTTCCAATTATTGAGAGATAACACCAATTTCCAGCATCTCTTGCTCTATGGCTTGAATTCTCAAAACGGGTCAATTAGTCTTCTCCCTAATGTAATATTTATCATCCTCCTTCCATCAAGGGAATTTGTGCTTCACATTCAACAATTTCTTATATACTCTAAATCTATGCGAATGGAGTATTATTCCACGCATGCTTAATGAGATCAACTACCATGTCTTCCAAGCATGCATTCACCATTCAAAAAGGTTTAGCCCATTATCACGTTAAAAACATTGATTGGTGGCCCAGAACGCCCATCCCAAAAACCGGTCATCGACGATCTAGCTGCAAGAACAGGGCAAAAAACAATTCAAATAATTGAGAACTAAAAAAAATGAGAAAATAAAAAATTTAAATATAGTACAAAATATTTCAAATAATTGAGAAAAATTCGAAAAAAATAAAAATTTAAAGATAATGGAAACTATTTATAACATTATAAAAAATAAAAAATAAAAAATAGGAAGTATTTACTTTCTCGTACAGGTTTGTAGCGGGGTCGGATCGCCAGCGCCCCCAAGATGGCGTCGCTTCTTCACAAGGACCAAGTTTTCCCCTTTTGCCCTTCCTCTCTTCCTTCATTTTATTTTCCTCCCCATCGTTGCCTAATTTGACCCTGGCGTATCTGTAAACTCTCTCTCTCTACCCGATTTCCCTCTCCTCTCTCTTAATGGCTTCACTTGCTAGAGATTTTCGTCTCGTGGTCTAATGGCTGCTCCATATGCTGGTTATTTGCCCCTCTCCAATGGTTTGCCACAGGTATGGATGCATTTCAAATGAATAACAAGCTGTGATTATGATTGTTTTCTTGTCGTTCTGGTCATGAATTCTTTCTGTGGCACTGTACTATTTTGTTTACCATCTTTACTGCAATTGACTTATATGCAATTGTTAATGGACTTTGCGTTTAGGGCAAAAGCGTTGGTTTTTCGAGGACTAGGTTTATTCGGGTTAAGGACGGACAAATGAAACTCATTTAGAAATTCAGTTGTTCAGACTTCTTGTTTTGTGATTCATTATGTTCTCCCATGGATATATATATTTGAAAGAAACTCATATATGGAGCTTTGTCTTCTTGCCACCAAATGGGCACCTGACTTCTACACGCCGAGGCTTTGTTTTTTTCAGTGTAGTTGTCAATCAAGGATGCACCCAAAGGGCGAATATGCAAGAACTCAATCATGGTCGTTTGTCTATTGGAAAGGGAGTGACTCCCAACTCTTGCTTTTAGCAAGGGAGTTACCTCCCGGCTAGTTGAGTTGTTGCTACATACATATGAAATGCTTGATTTTTCTACCTTAGGCACTTTGGTTTGGATTTATCCAGAAACTTGGGTGACATAATCAATTCTTCACTTATATAGCTGTGAGAGTTTCTTATTATGCCATTTGCATGAAGATGACATTCCTTTGTTTGAGAATAATATTGTACTGAGAATAATTAACAACATTGTATTAAAGTAAAAAAGAGTTACAAGATGTTGATCCCTATACAATTGTGATTAGGATAGTTTGTTCAAAAAGAAAACCAAAAATTCCTTAGTAGCCTTGAAGTTAGTACAAAATTTTGGGCCACAAGACCTTCCTTAGCCTAAGCATTAGCGTTGGCATTGACCTCCTCCACACATGTTTAAAGTCAACTCTTAGGGCCCTTTTTACCTCAAAATTTGATCGAAAAATGGATTCCAATCTCCAAGAATAGGGGAGGAATTTGTGTTTGGGATATGATCTTCTGTGAGTAACTTTCCACTAGAAGAGAGTGTTCCTTGTTATGCTTGAACAATCTAAGGACTATGTGGCCAGAAGGGCATGGGCTTTGGTGAGTATGGACTTTACTGCTCTTATTGAGCCCTCTAAGGAGTGTAGGGCATGAAATGAGCTATCTCGGAAAAGTCCCCCAACCTCAGCTAGACTTGGTTGACCAAATGAGTAACCATCAAATTTAGCCCAATGAATGCTTGACTCTGGGAAACCCATGGGTTTGATCTCGATCCTGTCATTGGCCTTGAATGAAAGATTTCAATCTAGTTTTACTCGAAACCTTCTTTGGCCTAACAACTAAACTCCTTTCGATTTTAGACCCAAAAGATACAAAAGTGTAGATGTGATCGCAACCCGTTCTGGCCGAGACTCCAACTTTTGAAAGTCCTAGCATTCTACTCTAATTAGATGGCCTATGACTAGGCCACTATCATTGCCTGTCATATAAAGAGGCCCGACGAAGGAAAAGGGGGGCTAAATAATCCATGAATAGTTGTTAGAATATTTGAGAAGTCACTTGCAATCAGCCGAAATGCTGTACGATTGAGGCCCATATTTTTCCATGAAAGTACAATGAAGGAATAAATGCTCTAATGTGTTCTTCAGCCTCCTTACACAACACAACCTTGTTGAGTATGGGTAAAGCCCTCCGTTGGAGATTGTTGATTATGAGAATTGTCTTTGCAAGAACCAGATGGTTGAAACCAGGATTTTGATGCAATGGCTAGGGTGTTTTTTATCCTGGTTGACTTAGGACATACGAGGTAGAATCAGGCCACCAAGAAATCTCTTAAAAAGGCAGAGATCTAGATCATCCTAGGGGACTTGGTTCTCGAATTGTATTAAATCCTAAGGAGGTCTAGCATGGCAGTAAGTTCGAGAATCTCTAGATCTAAGAGATACTTTTGGAAACAGCAAAACCAAATCAGGTGTCCTCAAATTTCTTCATATGATTGGGCTGCTGTAGCGTCTTGGGACCTGACGAGGGAGATTATGCTTGGGAATCTAGACACTAAGGTAACCCCCAAGCTGGATGTCCTAATATAATTGACTCTGTTCCCCAATTTTGAACTTGCAGCAGATGTTGATGACCGCTGCATGGGATGAAGTGGTCGCTTTGTAAGCTTCGGCGCCAATTCACTTGCATGATCCCTGGGTAGCCATCTCGAATCATCTACCCCGTACCAGCTGTCACAGTGGCCTTCCTGGTTAATGAACTGCAATCACCACTTGCCCAGAAGTGCAAATCTACAGTCCTTTAGATTTCAAATACCTTACCCCATTACGAAAATTGATCGCAGACAAGGGCATTCTAAAGAGAGACATCTAAAATACTTGGATGTTGGATGGGGTAGGTTTGACTAAGGTAATTTTGGATCCGAGATACAGGAACCTACACTTCCAGGCATCTTACTGGCATTCAAACAGCTCGAGTACTGTATACCACTAAGCCTTATGACACTGTTAACGTGGAGTGGGAGGTCCAAATACGTGTGTGGTAAGGACTTATCCCACACGTTGGCCTTTTGGCCAACTCAGGAACAATTTCTGGTTCAATGCAAACCACTGAATGAGTGGATTTTTTGCCATGTTTCTCTTGTGACCAGTTGCAACTTCGAACCACTAAAGTAACAACCATAGGTGATCGACTGTTTCGGGTTCATGTCGTAGAAGACTAGATTGTCAGTTGCATACTGCAGGTGGGATATCGGGAAATGGGCATACCCATTTAGGATGAACTAGACAATTATAGAAGGTTTTTGTTGAAAAGAGTTAAGGCAGGTTGCTGAAATCCTCTAGCATGGTGGCAGATAAAGGGGAAACATGGTCTCCTTGCCAAAGCCCTCTTGAAGAAAAACTCTTTCGGATTCCATGACTAGGACCAAAAACCACAGGAGGGAGATAAAACACCTAATCTACGTCCTGCCTTGGTCATTGAGACCCCATCATGGATATACCATTGTGTTGAGTATATCCCAATTGACACAATCGTGAATCTTTTCATGATCAAGTTTGAAAACTACACCTGGGGTCTCTGTCTGGTGTATAGTATGGATGCATTCATGAGCAATCGAAGCTCCATCTGAAATTTGACAGCAAATACTCTTTGCACTAGGAAATTGCATGGTTGAGTACTTATTGAAGATGCGAAGCAAGCTTGTTTGATAGAAGTTCGTACGAACAATTTTGCAAACAAATTGACCTAATGGCACGTTGGTTGGCGTGAAACGTGAAAAAATTCTCTCAATTCTCTCATGTGATTAGATGTGGGAATATTTTCATACCAATTGGCAAATTGGTGTGAAAAGATTCCTACACCTAACCATATGAGGAAATTCTTTCATCTGAAAATATTTCTTGGGAAATACTTTCACGTGAAACTAAAGTGTTAAAATCTTTCAGTTTCTCTACGCCCTTGCCACGAAGGAACCAAAACTATAAGAGTAGTGTTGTGCCTTCTATTTATTATACCCTTTGGAAGAATTTCAAGAAGAATGTTAAGACATCAGGGGCAAGGGTGCCTTAGAAATTTTTAAATAAAGCGACCTACAAGCCATTTGGGCCATGGACCTTATCTTGATCGAGTTTAGCTACCATCCTACGGATCTTTACTTTCGTGAAAAGGCCTCTGAAGCCACTTAGCCTTCTATCTAGGTAAAGCCGTGCAGCGAATGATTAGTTATTCTTGGCCTAGCTTGACGAGGAGTAGAGAAAAGTCTCTTGAAAACCAAATTATGATCATATTGATTTTAGAGGGCTCCTCATGAAATTTATCCTTCTTCTGATTTAAATGATACCATTGGCTCTCCTATTACAGTTTGCAGTATTGTAAAAAAAAAAAAAGTTTTATTTCTATTCCCATCTCGTAGCTAACTAATCCTAGAGCGATGGTACAACTGTCTCTTTCTATTTAAGAAGTTTTGCAAAATGCTACGCTCTACCCTCTTATCCCTTTCTACTTGTTACAGGCCTCTAATTTTCGTTTTAGATGTTCTAGTCATTTATTTAATTTTACAAAAAAATTTACTCTTAGATGCCAATGATTTGTGACTCCAAAATTTGAGATTGTTCTAAAATAATTTTAACTTATTGCTTTGTCTAGAAGCTGCCATGTCGTATACTTGGAAGCAAAGTTACCAAGATCTTCTAAGGAGGGGTCGCTTTAGCTCTTGGATCTTGTCCTGTGCTAAAAAACATGGGATCTTGGTTCCAGGCGATTCTTTGATACTAAGGATCTCAATTCGAGAAATCAAAGTTCTCGATCCTATATTAATGGGACTTAGATATGTATACCAAAAATCATTGTTTCATGAGTAAGATGAACCATGATTCCACCAACATGGGATCGAGTAACCTAATCATTGAGTGCAAGTTTCAATGGTACCATTTTTGGTTCGTATGTAATGGTGATCTCTATTTGTTTATGACCTATGAGCTTTCTAAATGCCATGGTTTCCTATATATTTCATAGTTCACAACTTTACACACCTTGTGAATTGTGATTATGTCTAGTTTCAAAGAAAGGCAACAAGAGAAGGCAAGGAGAGAGAAAGAAGAAGTTGGGATGAGATACAAAGTATAGTCGCTTTGCGGTTATTGAGGAATGAGGTCACAAAAAACATGCTAAACTTTCTTAGGGCTAGTTCATTGGGTCTTGTCCACCTCCCAAAGGGCTTCTATCGCTTGATTGTTGGTTAACTAAATTGTTGCACGCATGGGGTTGCCTAGTGGGTGATGGAATAACATGTATGATTGTAAATGCGAGGTCTCTTTGTGTATAGGTCATTAAGCCCCTAGCAAACTTTGATGGAGGAGGGCTATTGGGAATTTTATTTGTCAAGGTCTTACATATTTTCTTGTTTTGCAAAGGAGGAGAACTTAGCTATCGCCTGCATTTATTTTTTGGAAACAATCTATCAGAACATTCTTAAATTACAAGTTTTTTAGACCAAATCAAAGTTCAATGTCTATTTTTTTTTGACAAAACGTTCTAGGTTA